GTGTGTGTGTGTGTGTGTGTGTGTGTGTGTGTGTGTGTGTGTGTGTGTGTGTGTGTGTGTGTGTGTGTGTGTGTGCGTGTGCGTGCGATGGAGGAACTGAGCCTCAGTCAGTCTCATGTTTTATCTTTGGAGTAAAAAACTAAAATAATGTTTATTTTGATATATTTCTGTCGCTGAGTTTTCAAACCTGCAGAATTTTAATTTCTTTAATTTCTTTTATTTTATGTATTTCACCTGTTGGTGGCGTCATATCCTCTCTGTGCATGTGTCAGTGTTTGTCTGGAGTGTAAATCACATTTTTTACATCTGGGTGGTTTTTATCTCTGTGTTTGAAGCAGATGAAGGATTTTAGTCGTCGGACGTCTGGATCTGAAGTTTTCAGAGAAACGAGCGAACGTAGCAGCAGCTCGACTCCTCAGAGACGAGTCAGAGAAACATGAGTTTAACATGAAGCTGCTTCACTCACTGTCTTTACTGCAGTGAATCAGCTTCTGTTTGTTTTGGAGGAGGACACGTCTGAGGAGAATCCAGATCAAATCCTCCTGAACCATCAACACTGAAGGAATCTAACCATGAGAAGACTACAGCTCCCATCATCCCTCTCAGTGGATCTGATCTGAATCTCTGGTTCTCTGAGGGAGAACACGACGTCATCTGTGGATCCAGTTTGAGCCTGAAAGCAGCTTCAGGGACAAACATGAAAATGATCCTGAAAACTTCAGAGTCTCGTCTCCTGCTTCAGTTTCATAGTCTCATAGTTTGTGTCTCGCTCCTCCTCCTCCTCCTCTTCGTCATTAGAGCTCTGCAGCGTCCGTCCAGTGTATCATGGCCGTTTGTCGCTCGCTCCTCTCTTCGCCTCCTTTCACGTTTCTAAGTGCCCTTTTCACCCTGAGCACAAAGAGCAGAGATTAAAAGTGGAAAAGAGAAATTTGCAGTTATTTCCTGTTAATATCTTTCCCTTGTTGGGCTCTAATGGGAGGAGGCGCCCCTTCACTTTCAAGAGGGCTTAGCAGCAGTTAGCTGGCTCCAGGCTGCGGGACAATAATCACGTTTTAACTCAGCCTCACACCCGAGTCCTCACAATAACTCGCTCCACTTAATTCCTCCTTTCAGAGCCGGCGATAAAACGCCAGAGGCAAAATTAATAGATGCTAATGGCTGCCTCCAATCAAAGCCGAGCGGGATCCAGATCTGCCAGTGAGGCCTATTAATTAACATGGGGGGGGGGGGGGCAGGGGGCTCGGCGGTTCACACGGGCCCCGGCAGGGCGGCCCATTGAGGCCGGAGGCAGGGGGGCTTTGTGGAGCCGCTCGGGCCACAATTAGATGTCCCTGAAAGGGCTGCCGTTTGTCCCCCGGGCACCAAAGCTGCACAGGAAGGGCCGAGGCCGCGCTGCGAGGGTCGAACCCGACGCCCGAACGTGTCTGATGGACGCCGTCACAGAGGTGAGGAGGACACGAGTCACAAATCCAGGTCAACAACATGTCTCCATTCACGTTTTCTCTGTGACTCCTGGTGGAGTTTCACATCCGGCCCCCGACGTGATGTCATCAGTCCTTTGTGGTTTGTGTCTCTTCTTTGACTGGTTTGTTTATATTTTATTTTAATCACAGTTCATCTTCGTTTCTTCTTGAGTCTAGTTTTCGTTGCTTTGCTTCATTTTCCATCTAATTGAATTATTTAAGTTGTTTTGCATTTGTTTCTATTTAAATCTCATGATTATTCTAACTTGACTTGTTTTGCTTCTCTTTGGAATCAACCTGCATCTAAACTTAGTCTCTGTGATCATTAGATTTAGAGGCTGGAGATGAATTTCCTGCCGCAGACGGTGACGTTTCAAACGTCTCGTCTTTAAACGTTTCGTTTTCTCTCCACGTCCACGGGTTAGGGTTAACCCGTCCAGAGAGAGAAAATCTTCACGTTGGAGAAACTGACACCAGAAAATATCTGACACAGTTTTTCATTGTTTATCATTAATTTATATCAAAACAAAAGTTTAATCTGTTGCATAGGGGACAGTGTCTTCAGTCAGTGGGGACAGTGTGTCTTCAGTCAGTGTGGACAGTGTGTCTTCAGTCTGTGTGGACAGTGTCTTCAGTCTGTGTGGACACAGTGTGTCTTCAGTCAGTGGGGACAGTGTCTTCAGTC